GTCTCATTTCCATCGTTTATGGAAACAGCATTTTGCGGAGACACCCCTAGGATCTATTTCTCCTATTGTAGGTGTCCGCAATGCTCCCAATTTGCAACAAAGACTAGTTAAGAAGAAGCCGGCATCAGACCTCATCCGATAGAGTAAGATGCCTTCATGTTCTTTTTTAAAAAACTAGGCCTTTTTCATTTTGGTTGATTTCATACCTGGTTACCCACGCGTCTTACGGCCGATGGCTGCGGTGGACCGGGAGATGACCCCTTCTACCAAAGGAGAAAATTGAGATTTCTACCCACACGGATGTAAGTTCGCCAGAAATTCTGAGCGTTTCGCCGTAAATTGGCAGGACCGGTTCGCTCACATTCAACGTGTGAGTCCTTCCCGACGGTTCGCTCACATTCAGTGTGTGAGTCCATCCCGACCTTGAGTGTAACGAATCAGTTGCTCAACTCTGACCCGAGTGTCGATGACGAAGGTGACAATGATTGACCGTATGCGTGGTTCGCTATCTTTCCGTGTCACTCGGACAGATAGAATGGCATTAGCAGTCAACGGTGACACATCCAGGATTTGCATGTCTGAGTCGAAATTCATCGACCGGCCCGATTGCTAGTGGTCGAACCTTCGTCAATTCGGCATACAAGCAGAACTTGACAATTCGACCCTCAATCGGTCCTCCGTCGTCACGTTCAGTGCCACTAAAGCACTTACATCGGCGGCAACTACCCGATCATGCACCAGAACGCCCGACAAAGAGTGCTCTATGCCGCTGGAGACGTCAGCGGCTAGAGGTGCGTATTGCAAGTGGAAGTGGCAGTCGTAAAAAACCGCCCGCCCTGCAATCGTCAGTTCGATTAGCGACCCCTCGACATGCTGTCGAGGAGCCAGTCGTTATCGAACCACGACGCACCATGGACCCACCAAAATTCCGCTTTGAACTATAGTTCAAAGTGTCAAGTCTGAAAACTGCTCTTAGCGTTTTCATTAGAAAAAAATGAGTCTGAACGCGTAATGAAAACACGCAAAAAGTCGAGTGAAAACATGTTCGCTTAAAACAGAACGCATTTCAACGCGTCATTTCGAGTCCGGTAATCTTCTAGATTCTTTTTTTGATGAAGGTGGTTTATATTTTAAATTGCTGAGCCCTGGATAGATATTTGATTTTTCGAAAATAAGGTTACGTTCCATGCCCGTCTTCCGAACAAAATTTTCAATTTCATGTGAAACAGTAGGTGTTGTTATTTCGCTTTTCGTTTTTCTCTGCTCATTTGTGTTAAAAGTTGAATAGCTCGAACTCGAAATACAAAAACTCAAGTCCGCGTCCAGGTCCGCCAAAAAATCTTCCAGCCCGGACTCGGACTCGCCTATGCCTGGTGTATATGTAGAGCCCGCCAAAATTGCACAAAATTGCACTAGAATTATATTTTCAGCTTTTTTTAGTTTTTAGATAATTGCATTTTAAGCAAAAAAATCGTAAGTCAGTCACGCATGAACAGGCCGTATAGATGACAGAAAAGAAACAGAATGAGTATCAGAATAATCAAATCTTTCCATTATTCCTCAACATTTCCTTGGACTTGCTAGTCTTCTCTAGATCAGAATAGACACTCTATTTAGTAAATATTGAATGCAACTGAACTACATCGCATCCATTAGAGGTTTTATTCATTACATAGAAAGATCCTTAATTACTGAAAAAATTATCTGAATGCCGACTATTCTATAGCCAAAATGTAGTGTAAATCTTGCTCTTTCCAACTATACAAGAATTTGTCTTTTATTGTATTTGCTTTTTGAATTTCAGATTCCAGAAGAAGGCCCGGTTTCAAAATGTTCCCAACTTGAGAGTCGGCTCCCTCGGAAACTGACCGTCTGAATTTCTTGAAACTTTCTTTCTAAAATGTACTGACCTCACCATTTCTTCGTCGAATTGAAATGTATAAGAGACCTATGTCTTAATATATTATGGGAGGAACTTCCGACAGTTAAACCTCTGTTGTCCTTTAGATCCGAAGGTCTAATAATAATGTAAGTTACGACATGTATTGCACAAATACCTACTGCCACGGCCAGATAACTCTGCTACCGTGACGAAATTTTGACATTTTGCTGTGTTTATATTTTTACAAGCACAAAGAAAGCACAAGAAGTGCTGTGGAACGTCTAGAATTGTAAAGCAGACGTTTCTCTAATGTAGGGTGTCGAGGCGCTATACGTTTCTTTGTTTAAACAATAAACAGTAAAATACTAAATGCTACTTTCACTAAATGAAGCTTGAGAAGGGCCTTTTGTATTTCTCTTTTATTGTTTAAACAAAGAAACATATAGAGCTCCGAGATGCCTCATTTTGTAGGGAAACGTCTTCCGGTGCTTTTGTTTAAAAAATATAGATACAGCAGAATGTCAAAATTTTGTCGCGAATTTTCCTCCGGTAGCAGAATCATCTGGTCGTGCCGCTATGGAAAGCTGGTGAAATGAAGCATTATCATGATAAAGAAAATATAGTCTGAAATTTAAAGTTGATTTGTCCATTGTTCTTCTGTTTCTCTACTTGGCAATATTTTTATACAATAGGGGCTGGTGTATTGAAGATATGAAGGAGTGAATAGTTTGATCGATTTAATGATTGTCGCACACGTTTTATATCATTATGTGGAACTGGTTTTATTGTTGATAAAATTTCAAGTGCTCGTCTATAACAGTTATAACCGAGTATTTTATCATTACAGTTGAAAGAAATATTACCAAATAATTCATAATGATTGGCAATTAGTTTGTACTTCACTCCTTGGTTGACCATCTCAAGTCTTGTCATCGATGTTGTGCAGTAATTCCATGCTTTGCCATATTGATGTAATTTTAATGCAATATTTCCTAAATAATTCAAAACTGTTATACAATCGAGTTCATGAGTATCAACCTGATTATTATAAATATTTAATGCTATTGTACAATATTGAAATGCTAATTCATATTGTTCATTTTTATAACATAGCCAACCAATGAATTGATTTAATAATGCAAATTTTGTTCCATTATCAGGCCTAATAGAATCTTTGAATTCTAAAAGTTTTTTACAATGCTTAATAGCTAAGTTAAATTGTTCGGTTTTAAGATAAATACGAGTAATTGAACGATCGATGCCTATATTAGAATAATATTTGTTAGGGAATTCGCTTTGTCTTATAGATAATGCTTCATAGAAATGTTGAAATGATTTAGGGTAATTGTTTAATTCAGTATAAACTTTACCCATAGCCTGATGTAATTCATATCTGCCTAAAGAATTCGAAAACGGGTCATTGAAAAAGGATGTTGGATAGAATAAGCAGGAGTCTGATGATTCCTTCTCTTCTGCGCGACATCGATCAGTCTCTCTATTCGATCGCTCAGATCAATAGAACTTTTTATCTTCTAAACTTTGTGTTGTCACATCTCTGTAGTCGAAATCAGAGACGTGCGCCGCCGCGCCGGTCATTTTTTACACGCTACCGCCGCCCAAGGTGGAGAAAAATTGTTGCGACTTCCGTCATCGCCGCCGCCATGCCGTTAAACTTTTGTCGCCGCGGAGGACAGAAATTTTTTTGTAAAAATTTTGACTATTTTTGTTAGTACATTCTTACCTTAGGCTTCTAGCGTGCAGCGCGTTTCTATCTTTTAGTATACGCAACGTACAGATACAGTTGGCGCGCGAAGAACGAGCCAGAAATGAAAAAGAATGTTGTTTTACTTAAATTATGAGATTCGCCGCTGATAACCAATTTTTAGACGCCGCCGCCGAAGGCAGAGGACATTTCCATAACCTCGCACCGCCGCCGTCGAAGGTGCAGGGAATTTTCATTGCCTGGCGCCGCCGCCGCCTACGGTAAAAATTTCATTCGCCGCCACCGAAATTTTTTTATCGCCGCACATGTCTGGTCGAAATCCATCCCACTTCACAGTTTTTGCGTTAAAAAACGATTATTTTCGCATAATATGATCTTATTATGCGTTAGATATTAATAAAAGGAAAAAAACATTTTTTGATAAAAGATTTCTTAGGAACACCCTTGCCCTGAATTTTTGTCCAAAATATTTTATTTGTAAAATTAACAGGTTATAGATCATTCGATGCAGTTTTTAATGCTGATTCCAAATATCACATTAATTTTCAATGAAGGTATTTTTCGGCTGAGCAAAATGGAAAATACCTCAAAACTCAGGGTTTTTTGAAAAACCTATAGCTTAACTTTGATAAATATGCGCATTCACAATTGATAGAAGAAATGACGCCAACATTTTGGTATAATATTGAGTCAGATTGGACGGGGGAAGAAGTGGAGAAACTCATTAAAAAATAAGAACTTCTTTCGAAACAGACTTAGTCTGGAAGTCGAATTTTTTTCTCCTATTTGACAAGCCTAGAAAGGATATTTTTTCCAGTTTTGTATAGGAGGATGTGTAGATTCAGAATATGTAAACTTTATAAACTTCAGACCACTGAGTTTACTAAAAACACCTATTTTTCTCAGAGGTCTCTACTTTTCAGACATTTGTTGAAGGATACAGTTTTCCAAAAAGTGCAACTAAAATTTTTATACCATTCGATAGCCCATTGATTGAACTATACGTAATATTATTTGAATTTTGGAGAAGTGTACTTTCGATTTTTTGTTAAATGTCCTTCTGGATTCCCACTGTGCACTTCCAGTATGTCCCTATTCATCGACATTAGTCCATGATGCTCGCATGCGTCGACTATCCGCGCAGAACAATTATCTGCCAGAAGTTTTGAAACATTTATATCTATCTTCTTTTCTCAGATTCAGTGGACTCTCATAAATACTTTTTCATCACTTTTAATATCCGTTGCGTCACGTTTTACTCAAAAGCTGATACATCCTGTCATAACGACAAAAATATCACAACTTGAAACCTATTAAGTCCTAGAAAAGTATCTACAGTCTGTTAGAAAATAAATTAATTTATGACGAATCTATGGCGCTGACAGGCAACTGTGAGTAAGGTGTAGTTGAATATCGCAGCTTTCTCAGCAAACGTTTGTGTAAAAAGTTTTTGTTGAACTATAGGAAGTATGCCTTTGATTGCCCTGCGTAAACTTACCTGAAATAAAGCCTTAGGGACTTCGTACGAGCAAATGCTCACTGTACGTAATTGTCGCTTACAGACATAAAGCCGGAATCGTATGTCCTTTTTGTATGGTTCCGAATTCGTTATATATAGTTAATGATTGTATGTAATGTTTGATAGAATATAGATAATTTTTTTGCTCGCGATAGCAACGTCCAATATTATGATGCATATTAGCAATAGAGTCTAGGTCATTTAAATCGA